TTCCCATCATATCACTATTCAAAATCAATTCTTTCCCCAAAAATCTCTCCCAAACAAGCTCTAAATGTTTATCTATAAGTTAAAAGATAAATCACTTATTCTAGCTAACAGTAAGATACTATTCAAGATTATGTATGAGAGATCGTTTTTTGTCTCTCTTTAGCCCTACGTCTTTTACAATTAGGAAGTCTTCCTCCACTAGCATCAAAATGTTTTGAGCAAAGGGTTTCTTTGGTAAAAAATAAGGGGTTGTTCTTTTCGTGTTTCAATTTTTTGTTTTGAGTTTTGAATTCATTTTGGGTTTTGTATTTTGAGTGTCCATTTTGAGATTACCGAAAACGCGTCCTTTTTGTCATTTTGAAAAATTATTTTCAAAAATTAAAAAAATGAAGTTTTTGCTTGGTTTTAACCGAAAACAGCTAAAATGACATTTTTTGCGTTTTGCGTTTTCTTAGTAAATTTTAAACTCGTTTTGGGAAATTCGTTTTTGAAAATAGGTAAGTAAACGTGTTTTCAGTGTTTTCGAAAACTGAAAACTGAAAATAATCTAAAAACAACAAAGAGAACAGACCCTAAGGGATTTAGGTAGTTTTTTCTAGAAATATCAATACGCATAGATCCATACAGCGAGTTGTTTCTTGCAGTAAATGAACTCGAATGTTAAAGAAATTTGTCCAACGATTCAAATGAATTAACCTTTTCTGGTTAAGAGTAAAAAAAAAGTAAGTTATTTAAATGTTTTTTAATTACTTAAAAGTAATAGTACTTTTTAAAGCTTTTCCAAACATATTAATGCTCTGATGTTGTGATTATACAGTAAACCCTAATTTTGTGTTTTTTAGAGAAGTATTTTTACACAATATAAGCAATCTAGAAGTTATTTATTCACGTTTATAATATTGATGAGCTAACTTATTCATGTACAATAAGATTCGTGTTGAGGAAGAAAAAAATGCGAAACTCAAGTCAAGTTATATTTCCATCCAATTTTATGTTATTCGTGAGATAGCATTGACATCAATTTCAATCAAATGTGCCAATCGTTATCACTAGGGTTAGCCGACTAATCTAGAGATGCAACTCGTGTCGTGACTCGTGAAAAACTTCCCGTAGTGAATTCGATCTATGCCTTCAAATTATTTACTCAAAACAAATACATAATTTCCAATTAATTAGATCTCTCAATATAATTAACTCTTATACTTACAAAACCTTATTACAATCTATGACAAGTTATTTTTGTCCATACCTCAAAATATCATAGTTTTTTCTGGTCCAAATGTATTTTCTATGATGTCCCCATCAATGTTTCTGTGAACATGTCTATGACCTTTATAGGTATATTTTATAGGCATCATTCTTTACCATTTGTAACTAAAATTCCATTGCCTCTTTTGTGATTGAAATAATTTAACTAATTGATACAAATGGTAATACAATAATTAATTTTTGACTTTGTTAACCAAGTTTCAAATGTATCAACTTCCAAAGTTTTAGGGTATGTTCTCTTTACCATTTTCAATTCGTTTTCTATTTTCGATTTTTTAAAACAGTGAAAACGCGTTCTCTTTCCTATTTTAGAAAACGCGTTTTTGAAAATAAGTTAAAATTTTACAAAGAATTTGTTGTTTTGGGTGCTTTCAGTTATAACCAAGGCAAAATTTTCAAAATGCGTTTTGAGTGTTTCAAAATGCCAAAAAAATACATTTTCAACAATCTCAAAATGAATACTTAAAATACAAAATTTAAAATGAATTCAAAACTCAAAATACAAAACTGAAACAAAAATAGAACCACCCCTTAGTTATTATATATTTTGTGGGAGTATTTTTTAATCAAATGTTGTAGGGTAGTAGGTGTCATCTTCCTTAAGAATATATGTATTAGATTAAATAAAATAATTAATATATATTATTTCTCTTTATTTAATATGTCTCTTTCTATTTGCCAAAAATATTCTAAATGCCAAGAACCATGTCATTATCGTCTTCAATTTTAATATAAATATTTTTTTCATTTGTTGCAACAACGGTTTTTGATTGGTCTTAATGCCATAGACGAGGTTGGGAAGCCTAACAATACAACTATTTCACTTTGTTAGGTTCATTAGCCTTCAAATCGAAATTAAACTCATTGTGAATTCTTGAAGTTAAAACATAAAATTAAAAAAAAAAAAATGTTAAGAGCAAGAAAAAGTTGAATTATTCCCATCATCCCTTAATCAATCTAGAAATTAAGATTCCAAATTCATGAACTTTTGCATCCAATATAGAATTTGCTTCTTGTCCAATTTTTTTTTTTTTTTAAATTTAGTGGCCATAATAGGAAACATGATTAATGTGAAATTGCTTTTCCCCTTATTAATTGAATATAAGTAGATTTCACTTAAAACTATTTTACAAATAAATAACAACTATAACAACAGATATGAAGTCTTATTTTCAATTTAAACTAATACATTTCACTTTACACTATTTTACAAATAAATAAGATCCTACTAGGTTTGGTTAAAAATTATATTTTTAGTAAATTTTGATAAAAGTTGATAAAATATGTGATTTAAAAAGTTGATAAAAGTTGTGGATTCTATAAAACATCTGCTTAAAATTGAGTGTGAGAGAAAATGAATTTTAAAAAATTGGGGCCAAACGGAGACTAAATAACAGCTCTAACGGCATTTTAAGTGCTTGTTTGGGATGATTGGAAAAGTTGCTAAAAAGTTGAGTTCACATTCAGAGTGTGTTCGATACACATTTTTTAGGAGAGAATGCATTTTTTTGTGATGTGATGGTGAATATGTGGTTGAAAAAAAGGAAAAAGTTATTGATGTGATGAAAAATATTATTTTATTGAAGAATGCGTGATTGAAAATGAGTAGAAGAATGAAAATGAAAATGTGGCTCATACAGGGGCTCAATGATTAATTTTAATAATACATTTTATAGAATTTATAATTTTTATCAATCTTTCAATCATATATTTTGTCCCTATCTGATTTTGCTAAAATTCGATTTTTAGTGGATTTTAATAAAACTTAAAGAAATGTGTGGTTGAAAAGCTGATAAAAATTGTAAATTTCCATAAAATGTGTGAATAAAGTTAATTATTGGTTTTAACTTAATTTTTTTAATCAAATTTTTAACTAAAGAACACATATTTATTACTTTTATCAACATTTGCTAATTTTTTTTATCAAATAATCATTTAATCTTATTCATGATTTAAAGTAGTGGAAATTACATCCTTCCCTACTTTTGGAGATCCATTTTCCAAAATCAGATTTCATAGTTTAAATTTCAAAAATCAGAACTTTTTTAAATAGATACAGATTACAATTATATTAATTATAAATTTTAATCACAATTAATTTCATTTAAAAACAAACCCTAAATTCATACCTTCCACTCTCTACCCTCGCNTGATAAAACATAAAGTGCCTCAACCCGGAACGTAGATTTGCTACAATTTCACTCACTCTTTCCATTGTAAGAAATCTCAAATTTCCTATAATAAAACGTTCAATTGTTTTTCAAAGCTTTGATAAAAGAAAGTAAAATAGAGCAAAATTATGATGTACGGATTCAATAGATGTGTCTCTACAAGACCTAGCATGAGGGGTAGAGAAATTAAGAGTATGTTCTCTTTGCTGTTTTCAAACCATTTTCAGTTTTCGAAAATACTGAAAACACGTTTACTTACCTATTTTCAGAAACGAATTTCCAAAAACGAGTTTAAAATTTACAAAGAAAACGGAAAACGCCAAAAAAGTCGTTTTGACGATTTTCAATTAAAACCAAGCCAAAACTTCATTTTTTTTTCCAAAATGACAAAAAGAACGCGTTTTCAGTAATCTCAAAATGGACACTCAAAACTCAAAACTCAAAATCAATTCAAAACTACTGAAACACGAAGAGAACAACTTCTTATCTTTTAAGTAAGTTTCTTTCTCAAACATGTTTAGACCCTGTTTGGTAAATATTAAAATTAAATATTTGTAGATTTTGATTTTTAAAAAAAAATGAAAGAATGTGTAATTAAAAAGTTGTGAATTCTATAAAATATGTGGTTATAATTAATTATTGATTTTGACTTAAATTTTAATTAGATTTTTTTTAGTGATATCAAACGAGGGCGTAACTTTTTTATTTTTCAAAAATTAGTATTATTTTTTTATGCTTGACTAAACATGCAAAAGTAAATTGGCTCCCTAATTCCCAATTAAAGATGCTTCTGTAAGCGCAAAGGGAGCACAATATGCAGAGCCTGTGTCTCGAAGTCTCGTTTCTCGGGCCATCCTTTCACGTAGATCAAGAAATTTCTGCTTTTTTCCTTTGCCATTTTTAGATTTTCCCTTAATCCATCTTCTTTTCGTTAGTTATTACTATTTCCCACTGGAGTCTGCATTTTTTAATGCTCAACACTCCTCTGTGTTTTCTTTCTGAAGAGAGCAACCAAAATTGAACACCCACGATCTCTCGCCAGTGAACCCATGTGAGCAAATCGTTTATACCCTTTGAATTTCTCTTAGTCTTTTTTCATTTATATGAATGTGATTTTTTATGCTAATATTTGATATGTGAAGTGCAGTCTGCAGATAGTCTTTATCTTGGTAACGGGTTTTCATTTTTCAATGCTAACTCAAATGGGGTTTTGCTAATTTTTGATAAAATTTCGTTTTTCTATGAAAAATGTTTATTAGCTTTTCAGTGTATGATTATACTTTATGGTAGACCAGGTTCAATGGGTGTTGATTGGGATACATGTTGGATCTATTGTTATTTATTTTATATTCCTGTTCGGAAACTGAAATTTTTATTTAGTTTTATTTTAATGGAACCTTGGATGCTGTGCTTGTGTATTGTTTAGTTATTTTTTTAACTTCTGTTGTCATTGTTGTTAAAGGTTTACATTGGAAGATTTTAACACATCGCCTAGAGCTTAAAACAATCGGCTTCTTGAGGTGGGGTTTCAGTTTTTTCATGGGTTGAATTCAAGGAATCATGGGTAGCTTTAGAGACGAAGAAGAGGAATCTCAATTTTTCGATGCCTCGGACCACATTGCACCAGCATTGGAGTTAGGTTCTGATTGTCCAAGCATTAATAATTGGGAATATGATGTGTGGATTGGGAGTCCTCAAAGTGTTAGAGAGCGTCGAAGAAAATTTGTTAGATGGATGGGATTGAACCCAGATAAGTTAGGAGACAATTCAGTAGATGTATATGATGATGAAGGTGGTGTATTTAGAGAAAAGATTGATAGAATTATGGAGAGTACTGGGGCTGTAGAGAAAACCTCAAATTTTGAAGATGAATTTTCATCTAGCCGTTCTTCTATGTCAAGTTGGACCACTGATGGTTTCGATTCATCCGGAGTGGGTTCTACTGAAAATTTTGCATATGAAAGTGGGAATTCGAACAGCGGAATTGAAAGTAGTGCAGATGATTTAAAGGAGGAGGGCAGGCTGAGAAAACTTCACGTTGGGGAATCGGACCAATTGCTGATACATAAGGAATTTAATAACATTTATCAATTATGTCCCTCAGCACAGCAACTTGTGCAGGGAGAAATGGAGTTCAACGGAAACAATGCGAGGGTAATGAATAATATGAAAGGCCGATGGTTGACTAGATTGCGATCCTTCACATGTATGACGAGTGGGAATGAGAGAAGCGATGATCCACGATCCAATAGCTCCAGCCAAGCTCAAGGGACCAGGGTCCACAGAGTCAGGGTTCGCCATTGTCAGAGAAGGTTGAAGGAACTCTCAGCTCTCTTCACAGGACAAGATATTCAGGCGCATGATGGGTCAATTTTGACAATGAAATTCAATCTTGATGGACAGTACCTGGCAAGCGCTGGTGAAGATAAGATTGTGCGAGTCTGGCAAGTGGTGGAAGATGAGAGATCAGATAATGCCGACATTACAGATGCAGATCCGTCATGCATATACTTCTCTGTGAATCATCTATCTGAATTGGCACATCTGACCGTGGAGAAAGATAAAACTAATAAATCCACAAGTCTGAAAAAAACACCTGACTCAGCATGTATTATACTCCCTCCTAAGGTTTTTCGAATTTTGGAGAAGCCATTGCATGTGTTGCAAGGACACAGTGGGGAGATCTTGGATATTTCATGGTCGAAGAATAATGTGAGTTTACCGTATGCTAATGTATTATGTATTTTTGAAAATTGTTAGAATCATTTTTAAATTAATAATTTGCTTTCTTGTAGTGTCTTCTTTCGTCGTCAGTTGACAAAACTGTTCGTTTGTGGCGGGTTGGGTGTGATCAGTGCCTCAAAGTCTTTTCACATAGTGATTATGGTATGTACCAGGCCGTACAATTTGGTGAATTTTCAAGCAATTGCTAATTGTGGATTTGAATAATAATGCAAATACAAAACTTAAATTCCATTCGAAGTACTAAATTCTTTATCTAAAGAACAATTTGATGTTATGTAGTGACCTGCGTTCAGTTTTACCCTACGAATGATGATTACTTCATCAGTGGATCAATAGACAGGAAGGTTCGCATTTGGACAATCAGTGGCTGTCAAGTTGTTGATTGGACTGAAATAAAGGATATAATAACTGCTGTTTCTTATCGCCCTGATGGACAGGTCTGTCGATACTGTTACTTTACATGTTTTAAACTGAACTTTGAGTTCAAAAATTTCTGAGACATACTAATCCTGTAATTCTTTGCTTGTTATTTAGGTTTGTGTTATTGGCTCTATTTCAGGCTCCTGTTATTTTTTTAATGTATCAGGTAATTTGCATTGAATTTCTGGACTTTCCTTTGTCTTTTCCCAGTTCTTTTGTTTAACATGGTGGTTCGTTGATCTTGTGACGTCATATAACTGTACGGATTGTTTTTCCTGCTCTGATAGGATATAATACCTGTCAAAAGTTTTAAGTTTTGATTTTGGTAGTGAAATTCCAGACATCTGGCTCCATAATTTGTTTCCCAATTTTTGGACAATTTTGGATGTATATACATCATGGTTGAGGTTTTGCCAGGATCAAAATCTGGGGACTGCAATATTTGTCTTGTTTAAGTAAAACTATTTAATTTTTACTGGCATTCAATAGGTTCTTACCATCTTAAACACTCGTTACATTATTTTACAAGCATTCATATGCATATGTTCTCTTCTTACTTAGCATGTGTCTATTATACTAAGCTTTAAACACAAGTATGATGAGGAGATCCAGAGTCTCAATTTCCAAGTCTCACATGGCTATATAAAACTTGAATTTACTGTTAAGCACAAATTAGCTGTGGTTTTACCCAATGGCTGACCTACATATTGGTTGACACTTTTTCTCTCTTGAATCAGATAATCATTTCGAATTGGAAGTTCAGGTGTGCTTAACCAGTAAAAAGAAGTCCCCATGCAAAAGGATAACTGGCTTTCAGGTAATCTAAGTTGCCCACAAGTTTGTTATTCACTTCTGCTATTTACTATTTTGTTCTGTTAATGTTGGATGCTAATGTCTTCCTAATTTTGGTGTTTGACGAATGCAGTTTTCCCCACAAGACCCAAGCAAAGTGTTGGTCACTTGTGCTGATTCACGAGTTAGAATTCTTAGCGGTGTGAATGTGATTGCAAAATACAAGGGTATGTATTTATTTTTTTCCTAGGTTATGGTACATGAGTAGTTTGATGATTTGACAGTATCCGTCTAGTTTATCCTTTGTTGCAAATTAGTGCCTTTTGTACTGCATTTGTTTCTGCTATTTTAAGGACTTATGATTTAGGAGTCATACTCTAGAACTTGAATGCCTTTGGATGTGAATGATTTCTGTTGCCAAATAGTCCAACCATGCTAACGTTATGCCATTCTTTTAAGGATATGTTTTGGGCCCTTAGTGAATTTTGTTGGCTCTACTCACAGCTCCAAATTATTAGAATTAACTCTATTGGTTTATCTGCTCTAGGCCTTCGTAGCTGGGGGAACCAGATCCATGCATCATTCACTTCAGATGGAAGACATATTGTCTCGGCTTCTGAGGATTCTAATGTTTATATGTGGAACTACATTGGTGGGGAAAAGTATCCTGCCTTGCACCCAAAATCCAGTAGATCCTTTGAGTATTTCTCATCTGATGCCTCCATTGCAATACCTTGGTCTGGCTTGAAAATTGGTAAGTCACAGAACGGGCTCGCATCAAGTGAACTACAAGAATGTTCAACTGATTTATTGCCTTTCTTATCGTCCACCTGTTTTTCTTTGGGACAAGAGTTTTTCTTAGACTCCAGCCCCAAGGGATCTGCGACTTGGCCTGAGGAAAAGCTTTCCATGTCTAGTCCCCATTCCGTGACATCAACATTGTGTAAATCTCGATACAAGCTTTTCAAGACTTCTTGCCAGAGTTCATCCATTTCTCATGCCTGGGGTCTAGTGATTGTTACTGCTGGGTGGGATGGACGAATTAGATCGTTCCACAATTATGGATTACCAATAACAGTTTAAGACAAGGAAGCAGGTTAATTGATAATTTCAAAGAATCTTTTTATATGCGCCTGTCAAGTCATCCATCATTGGCTTGGGTTACAAAATTTAGTGCATGCTAGGCTGGCACGTGAGGTCGATGGCAGGACCCAATCCATCCATGTTGCTTTGCCTTCGGATATTTGAGGATGCTGATCCAGTCGGCCTGTTCAAATTGCAACCCGGCTGCCAGTTAGCAAACAGATCAGGTTTGCCTTATCCACCTTATGATTGGTCAGCTTAAATCTAATATTTAACTTCTGGCCCGAAAAGTAAATAGTGCCTATGACGTGACGTCAATTGGAGAAGAATGCATGATGGAAGATGGCTATGGGACCTTGTACAAACTCTACCATTTGTTCATTGCAGTGGGACTCAGTGGAGCAGGAGCCTGTGGTCGATATTCGTTTGGAGGAAACAGTGGGGAACGCCTTCTTTTACGTTTACTTGTTGACTGGTTTGAATGATTAGAGGAGTTGTCTGCCATCTTTGTCCAGATGAAGGTTGTTGGCCATGTTTCTGAGTGGTGGGCAATTTTCCGGTGGATTAGTTTTCATGGGCCAGAGGTCGGACCAGCCGAGAACTAGAGATTGGCTGAGTCTAGTTGCATGATAAAAACATCATATGTTGCACTAACATGGTTAGCGATGACAATTTTTTTTTTTTACATTGTTAGGTTTATAAGAGTTGAATTCATAGAAGTCTTACCTTTTGAGTAACATATGTAAGTAGAGCGTTAGTTGTGTACAGGATTCACTTTTTTTTGGTGTATGATCGAACGGCGATGATTCATATTAAAGAAAGGAATAAATTGTGTGAGTAATCCGACGTAGATCTTTATATTTATTTTATTTTCAACACGTTCTTTTTTTCATGTTTGAGTTAATGAAAAAAAAAACTCAAATGTTAAATAAGTAAAAGAGAAGAACTCAATCAACTTCAAATAAGTAAAAAAATAAATGCAAAACATTGTAACATGATAAAAATAGAACCAATTCAATTTAAAGTACTTTTACAAACAAAAAGAGCGCATTTACACTTTGTTTGAGCCCATTTATGGGCAAATGTGTTTTTTTAGTCTTTTTGAAGATAATGTGGTTAAAAGTAGAAAAAAATTTAGATTTACGTGTAAAATTATTTTATCAAAAAATAAAAATAAAATAGATTGAAAATGAGTTTGACGAAAAATGAAATTTTAAATAATGAAGCTCGAACATGGACTTAGTGTATTGGTATCATAGAACCATCCTACGGTACTTGATTGTTGTTCAATTTCCAGGATGAGCATTTCATTTTTGTCTTCTCCAAACAATTTTTTGCTCTTAACATTCAATTCTTATTCTAGATTATGCCATATTTGATTTAGATACATAAATCTCAAGCAAGTTCAAAGGTTCGAAAGGTAAGCATCAAAAATGTCAAAAGAGAAACCTCAAAATTGTGAGCTATACTCACGCCGATTCCTTTACTCTCTCTCTCTCACGGACTCAATTGAGGGTAAGTTGGAGGAGTAAATCTCTTATTTAGGAGGTATATATAAAGTCTTAAAGAATTGGGGTCGGTCGTGATACTTGCTCAAGGACTAAGAAATTGTTGTTTAGAGATAACTCACAAGTGTAAGTATGAGATGTACTAAGCATGTGGTGGCTCCTTGCAGTAAAAATTGATTTTGCACTTATCATTGGAGGAGTTATATGTGACTCAGGAGGTATATGTTTTAAAGGAGTTGGAGGTGCGAGGAATTTGCTATTAAAAAAAAAGTAGATCAAGCATGTGTAGGATAATTTTTTTCGTACTCTTTAAGTTGTCTAGATGCATATGCAATAACTTTGCTATTTTGCATATAAAAACAGAAGAGGTTGAAAGTTACTAGTTCAGCCCTAAAATCACATAATAAGTGAATAACGCGGAATTAAATTTATTAATTAAAAGCAGCAATTCATTTCTTAATTGTTCTAGATGTTTAGTCAATCAAGTCAAGTTATTCTATGTTGAATTGCCATAATAATAATTTGAGCAATAAATAACGCAAGTTTTGATGATGAAGAAAATCCTTAACTATGTAAAAATTCTGGGATCAAGCTAGTAGTTTCCACTATAGATAATAAGAACTTACAGTATTATCCAGCCTAAAAAATTCACTAGACTCGTTGATCTCATTCATGAAATCTTCAATACCCGTTGGAACATGCATCACTCACACCTGCTCCCGATTTTCTGGAATTGTCTATTTTCTGTGAAACATCAAGAACGTCTTATTCTTGTACTCTCCCTGTACTTCTGGTCTAACCAATCGAGATCTTTAGCAACCTTTAAAAGTTATTGAGAAAGTACATTCCTGATTATATTTAGGAAGTTGATGTTTTGAATTATATAAATTTGATGTTTTTTCTAAACTTATGGTTGATTGATATCAAGAATCAAAAAGTTAATCTAAATATTTGGATATGTTCTTGGATCTTGAAATAATGATACAACCATCCAAAAGACTCATTGACTTTCACAACTCCTTTGTAACAATCCTATTCTTTTACAATAATTATTTTGTCTAAAAAATTGCCAATACAACAACCTAACAAAGGCTATTGGGAAAAAAGTTTCAAACTTTTCATAGATTTTAATAAAAATTAATATAATGTGTGGTTGAAAAGTTGTGAGTCCCATAATATTTGTTATAATTAATTGTTAACTTTGACTTAAATTTTAATACTTCTACGAAAAATATAAGGTTTTTGTGTGTTCTAATGACTAGTTATGAACCTTGAAACGAGTTTGTATGAAACTTATAAATCCTTTAAAATATTAAATTAAAATTTTATTCAGAGAAAATAATGTGTAACTATTGACTCATATTTACAGTTATATGTATAGGACAGAGGCCTCAGAGAAATTTACTCTAAAAATATTGAGTTTTTTTTTTTAAATTCAAAATCACACTTTTATTAAACAAAATAAAGACCTCATCCTCTCATTTATGTCGAAAGTTTGACTTATTGCTAAATTGCTCATTATAATAATAAAAACTCACTTTCAGTAGTGTTAAAATGATCGAGTTGAATTGACTCGAGCTGCCTCACAATCTTAATCAAGCTTATCGGATTGCATCGACCTTTATAATTTATTATACAAAAATTTAGTGGAAAAAATAAATAAATGTAAAATATTGAAAAATGACTGTGGTGTTCATGTCGACAAGTCTCACGGTCGGGCCATCCTCATGGTTTGAATTTTTTGCAGTGAGTTTGTGAATGTGGACTAGTTTCGCCCATTTTGACACTACCAATAACAAAGCATTTGTATTTGTGGTATAGGACAATCATTTATATTCAAATGAACTTTTGCTAAGAATTTTGATAGCAAAAAATCCCTACCAAAATTCAAAAGTATATTGACACAAATATCACTTAATGAAGCCAATTAGCAACAATAAGTACTCAGTCTAAAGCATCCGGTCACTTTTCGAAAGTACCAATAATCAGAGCCCAATCCTCAGTCCAACAATTATGTTTTAGAGAGAAAATTCACGAATACATTTAGCTCCCATTTGACAATCATTAGAGTAAAATGGAGTTTTGAATCGTGATCTTTAAGAAATGTGTGGTTAAAAAAATTTGAATTTACATACAGAATATTTTATTGAGTAAATGTGTGATCGAAAATGAGTATGTAAAAAAAAAAAATTAAATATAAAGAAGGGAAAGTCTCTACACCCTTGAAGGATGGGTGCTCCTGTATTTATATAGGTATAGTATGTATACAATTACAATAATATCCTTATATACTCTATTACCCTCCCTCAATTTGAGCGTGGTGAAACAATGCCCAGATTGTTACATAGCAATCGAAATCGAGAAAAAGAAAGAGCCTTTGTAAATACGTCAGCTATCTGTTGATCACCACTAACATGAAGTACAACAATATCCCCATAGAACTCTCTCTCTCTTTGACAAAGTGTAAGTCAACTTCCAAATGTTTTGTACGTGCATGATTAACAAGGTTAGAGCAAGATATGTGGCAGAAATATTGTCACAATAAACCTCCATGGGTAGTTGTAAAGAGACATGTAAATCATCCAAAACAGACCGTAGCCAACAAATCTCAGCCACCATTGCTGCAAGAGCGCGATATTCAGATTTGGCACTACTACGAGAAACAGTGTGTTGTTTCTTAGCAGCCCATGAAATAAGATTATTTCCTAGGAAAACATAAAAGCCTGTAGTAGACCGGCGCGTATCAGGACGGCCTGCCCAATCAGCATCACTAAAAGCCACCAAATTAGAAATTGCACCTTTATACAATTGCAAACCATATGAAACGCTGCCTTTAATATAACGCAATATTCACTTTACCACTTGAGGATCATGCATATGCTAGCAAACATAGATAAAAGCATAGGCAATTTCAGGATGTGTGAAAGTAAGATATTGTAAACCACGAACAATACTTCTATATAAAGAAGGATCAGAAAATTTAGAAGTAGTTGTGGAAGAGACACTGCGGCTACTCATAGGAGTATCAACAGAACTGTATATCTCCATATTCTCCTTGTGCAACAATTTCATGGCATACTTTTTCTGACACAAAAAAAAGCCATTTGAATTTTCCTCTACTTGTATACCACGAAAGTAATGTAATGACCCCATATCAGTCATAGAGAACTCATTCTTCAACAATTGAATACGATTTTGTAAAAGAGAAGAAGATGATGCAGTGAGAACTATATCATCAACATATAATAGTAAAACAGCCATACCATCTTTTCCTTTATACACAAACATACTGTAATCTGATTTGCAGCCATGAAAACCAATTTTAATCAAGTAAGAAGTGAACTTGTGAAACCACGCCCTTGGAGCTTGGCGAAGACCATAAAGAGCCTGATTCAACTTACAAACAAATTCTAGTCGCTGGGGATCAACAAAACCTTCTGGTTGAAACATATATACATCCTTGTCAAGCATGCCATGTAAAAAGGCATTCTTCACGTCTAGTTGATGAACATGCCGCCATGAGAAAGAGCCATTGAAAGAACTAGACGGATAGTAGCAGACTTCACCACTGGACTAAAAGTCTCGTCAAAATCAACTCCTTGACGTTGATTAAATCCCTTAGCAACAAGTCTAGCCTTGTAACGTTCTACAGTACCATCTGCCTTGGATTTCAACTTATAAATAAACCCATTTACTCCAAATTACATTGCCAGCATCAGCAGGTGGAGGCACCAAAGTCCAGGTCTGATTTGCTTGCAAAGCATTATACTTGGCTAACATGGCATCACGCCATGGTTGGTGTTTTGCAACTTCACGATAAGATGATGGTTCAACAAGTGTAACATGTGTAAGTAAGGACACAATCTTTTTCGGTTTGGAAACTCCCGCCTTTTCCCTTGTAGTCATAGCATGGGTGTTTGGATTTGGAACTGAGGGAATATCTTGTGTAATTGGCAAAAGTCAGTAGTCATAGAAGG